GGGGGGGGGGGGGGGGGGGGGGGGGGGGGGGAAATTAGTACCTGATATTATGCAGGTCTGCAATTGCTCATACGGACCTCGCAAGAAAAGGTAAAGTGGGAGTTTGCAAATCCATTAGTCAAATTATGCTCCAAAATGATGAATTATTTGCTTAGGAATTATTGGTGGTCAACGACTCCATGGTACATCAGGTCAGGTTGTGTGAAATTAGTTAGCTATCTAGAATCTGGATTACACATATCTACACCTGATAAGAGAAAGAGGGGAGAGATTAGTCAAGCATCAAGAGAAACGATTTCTGCTGCAAAACTGATAGAAAGAAAAGAGGACTGACCTTTTTCGATTAGTGAGTGATGGAATGTCTCCATCACCCTTCAAGAATGATGTTCTTCAAAGCAATTCCCTCCTGCAGCTGGGGACCAATAAGATACATAAGAGTAGGAACACTAGGAACATGAGTGAATTCTGCTAAAGAAATTTTTCCAATGGAAAGCAGTATTTCATATGACAATTCTGAAGTATTTACTTAGTACATTCACTAATTTTTGAAACGGCATTTCCTTGCGCCGAGTAATCAACATATAAATCAATTCCTTGAGAGAGAGAGAGAGAGAGAGAGAGAGAGCATACACAATTCTGAGCCTCCACTATTTCCTCTTTTCTTCAGAAAAAGCAGAGTTCAGTGTAGCCATGGGAATATGGCAACAGCTCCTCTGCTGCAATTCTGGAGCCTGAACAACTCATACTTTTTCTCAATCGACTGGGGACCAACTCAACCTCTACCGAAAATATGCTAGAAACTGGCCTATGATCGGAGAATCTAGATTCCCCACGGACATAAGATAATTGCTGAAGGCCGCCTCCATACCATAAAATGCGATCACACCTTCGCACATGAAATTAGCTTTGATCAGTTCATTGGTCACAAGAATTTAAAATATAAATCATTAAAATTCAAATATAATTAACCACTCAACAAGAGTTACCAGATAAAACACAACACATCTTTTTTTCATACTTATTAATTTCTAAAATTCCATACCCATATGCATGAGATAAGTGCTTACCAGGCAGGCGTTCTTCGTTTCTCCTTTGGGTGCATAGCATCCCCTGTATATCTGTCCGAATTATTCAAATATTTATAAGTTGGTGGGAAATATATCTTCCCTTCTTTCCATCCCTCAAAAACACGGCCCTGTCTCTGCTCTATTCGCAACTGCAAGCATATCATGATGATTCAATTGAATAGTATTAATAATCAGAAGAAAACAAGCAAAGCATTTTAACGTAAATAAAAGAGCAGAGGATTAATCTGTCGAAAAGAAGAAATAGCTTCATGCCTGGTCATTCTCTAACAGTGCTCTCCAGTTTTGCATCTCAACAAGTGCCTTTGCAGTCCGGTATGAGAGGGCAACCCGATAATTTAGATCTCCAAGCCAAATAATTCGACTGTATCAAAACATAGAAGATCAGAATATTTCACAAACCAATCTTATGTGCAAAAATGAAAAGAAAATTGGGCCCCGCCGGGGGGGGGGGGAGAGGAGGCATATGGTAGAATAGTACTGCGGAATGGTAATGTTTCACTGTTGCAACTTGTCTAAGAAACCATTTTTTTGCCTTGTGTTCCAACATTAGAAAATGGATATTTTTTTTTTTTTTGGAAACAGAAATGGATGGTTGAAATGCAAGGATCTTACTCGTGTTCAATGATTGTTTCTGGGGACTTCTCATCACCCATGCCATGAATTCGTGGAAACCTTGTTTTCCTAAGGATCTCCATGACATCTGAGTTCCTTCTTAGCTCATCCCCTTCCTTCTGTCCTGAGGTCAAGTGACTGCAAATAAAGCAAAAGCTTGTTTGATGCAATAGCATGCTGATTGAAATAGACCCCTGCAAAACCAACCATGATGTTCTCTCATTTACTCAGTTTTAAATTCAGAAACAAGAACACCTTTATTTGCTTGAAATGATACCTTATTCCCAAGATAACCCATCAATCCTCTGCCAACACGGGATATTTTCATGTTCTGAATATGTTCCCTCAAATCATTCCTTACCCAAATCATGAGAAAGATGCCAACCATTTGCTTACTTGCAACTAAGCAGTACCTTGATTGCCCAGGCCTTCTATATCCATCGTCCATCGGTGCATATCCGCCACTGGACATTGGTGAGAATAAAACGGTGCTAGGTGAATCTACAGGCCCATAATCATCGTCAGATGAACCCCATCTGGAATAATCACTTGGCCTCTGACCCCAAGAGTAGTCACTTGGCCTGTGAGAATAGTCACTTGGCCTCTGACCCCAGGAGTAGTCACTTGGCCTCTGACCCGAGGAACAGTCACTTGGCCTCTGACCCCATCGGATGTTAGAATCAAAGTCACTTGGCCTATGATCAAAGATTGCCCGGTCACAAACACTATATCGCCGATCAAGGCGTGGTTGTGGGATGGACGGGTCATTGTCTGTTCTCCAGCTGTGGGGTGTCTGGAATGATCGGCGCGGGAAGAAGGATGACGCCTTCTTCCTGGTTGATCCCTCAAAATCCACATCCAATTCGGCCATTGGATTGGGGACGGGAGAAGGTGTATAGCATGAACTACGTCCGCTGCTTCCTGGAAGATTGTTTAGAGTTTTACGAATTAAAGCTTCCCATTTTTTGGCAGGGCCGTTGTCTTCAGCCCCCAGAATATTACCAGCATTCAACGGAACTATTTCTTGAAATCTGAGAGCAAAATAAACATTAGTAATAAGAGTCGCAAAGTTTAGTAAAAGAAGAAGTGAAAGTAGATCTAACAACCTTACCCAAGTACATATATGTCTGAGGGATGNTTAGTAATAAGAGTCGCAAAGTTTAGTAAAAGAAGTGAAAGTAGATCTAACAACCTTACCCAAGTACATATATGTCTGAGGGATGGGAGGCATGAAGCCAATCATCTAGATTCAAGTTACTTGGTGGGGACTTTCCACCAACATTCCATGTAGCCACAAAGATGCTGCCCCATTAAAACATGAACACAATTGATAAATAACCCGAGAGAGCGAATTGCTGGTTAGTGTGTATAAAGAGACAAACCTATGGTTTTGGACATTTATAATTTGAGGGTGATCAAGATCAACTCTCCTTCTCCGGACACGCTCCGTATTCTTGCTTGATCTTTCTGTGCATCCAAGTGAGATAAAGAATAGAACTATAAGTTGACACCCAAAGTGATATGAAATTCTAGTTCCCCTTGAAACATTATATGCTGATTCTACCTGTTCTACTTTTCTTATTTGTGCAGGGCTCACTCTCAGAGAAGCTATTCCTCCGTTCAACGCCACCTCCTAGATAAAGAAAATCACTGTCAATGCATCAATTCGGAGATTAAAACAGAAATAAAGCACATAATCACCAATATCAACCATTGCATCATTGTCTGACTAATGTACTAGAATAGAACAGCCTATCAGAAGACCTATGAAGAAATTATATCATATATTAGATTTTTCACTATCGAAATGCCCCAAAGAAGCAAAAAAACTGAACTTAATCGAGCCAATTAGAACAACATGACTAGTAGAAATTAGAAACTTCACCTTTCAGGAATGTGAAAGCGAGCTTATCCGATAGAAAAATATGATTAAAAACCATGTCTTGTTTCATTTTCCTCAGTTCTATCAATAGCCAAACAAGGCGTGAAAAGAGGAGGGGGGGGGGAGAATACAAGTACTGCAGTTTCTCTCTCTAACGTTCTTTTATTCAAACTTTAATTGAACAAAAACCACAAAAAAGAAAGGAACAATTGTTAACGTCAGAGGAGTTCAATGATGAGCCTAGATGGAAATTCGATACTGACCTCCATGAACAACTTCATCAGCCTGAAATTCTTCGGTTTTTCCCTTTATATTGAACCATTTCCTAACCAGCCTTTTTGACCAAGAGAGCTTCACCAAAAAGAACAGAAAAATTAGCAAACTAAGGAAAATTCATGATCCCTTTGATTTATTTTCCACGAGAGAGAGAGAGAGAGAGACCTTGCTTTTCTTGGAATTCCCATCTCTCATTGTTCCTCTACTTCTTCATGCAGCTCTCCTCTTGTCTTCCCCTTCCTTCTCTTACCACAGTTTCTGGGTTTGCTCAGAATAACCCAAAAACACAAAAAAAAATTAAGCAAATGAACCCACAAGAAGAAAATTTTCCCTAATTTTGATCTCTCCAAAGCGCACTCATCGGCTTCTTCAAATTCTTAAGCCTGTCGAATTGAGTATATAGACTCAATACTTAATCGAGTAATCGAATAGAGCGAACTACAAATGGGCATTCCTTTTCTTTCCTCTGTAAACAAGAAAATCCAAGGATGTCTCTATCCTCTTGGGTCACTCTTGAATGATATATAATTTTCTTAGCATAAGTGTGCTAAACATGAAAGAAGAACAAAGAACCAAAACCCAGTAAAATTACAACACAACGATGAGAGAGAGAGAGAGAGAGAGAGATCACTTTCATGCGTCGAAGTGGGATTAGACTCTGAAGCTTAAGAAGTAAACAATGTGGCAAACACAGGGAGAGAGAAAGCTAAGAAAGAGAAAGAGAAATAGAGAAGGGACTTGGGGACCTCTCTTTCTTCTTCTAACAGCCTCGTTCTTAGTAATCGCTAACAGCAAAGTATCGAATTTGAACAGAATAAAGCGCACATAATCCTCTTTCTCCCTCTCTCACACCCCCCCCCCCNCGAAGTGGGATTAGACTCTGAAGCTTAAGAAGTAAACAATGTGGCAAACACAGGGAGAGAGAAAGCTAAGAAAGAGAAAGAGAAATAGAGAAGGGGCTTGGGGACCTCTCTTTCTTCTTCTAACAGCCTCGTTCTTAGTAATCGCTAACAGCAAAGTATCGAATTTGAACAGAATAAAGCGCACATAATCCTCTTTCTCCCTCTCTCACACCCCCCCCCCCCTCTTCTTTTTACTCAAAACCCAAGACCAGGCCAACACAATGGGGCAACGGGCATGTCGTTTCGCTTTAGTTCGAGGCATGAAACGACTCGGTCAGCTGGCAAAGGCTTGCCCGTTGGTTACCAAAGTGCAGAGGTGTTGGATCTGAGACCACATCTGAGACCCTTGTGGCTTGCAAATTGTCTTGCAATTTGGTCTTCCATATCAAAGTTAAAAGCAGTTAAAGAAGGGAAAATAAAGCTAAAGGGTAATGTGTGTTGGGAGAGTACTGGTTTAGTACTACATTTGATTTTGTTTTTGTTTTTTTTTGTTTCACTTTTATTTTTGTCTCCTCTATCCTTGGGTTGTGTTGTGATTTGATTTGTAGGGAACGTACACAGAAAAAATTGTCAGTAAGGAATTCCCTCCCAATATTAATATTTCATTTTAAAATAGTCAAAACGTTTAAAATATTTGTATTTTAAAAAGAATCAAAACGAATTAATAATAAAATTAAAATATTAATATTTTAAAGTATTTCATAATATTTTAATACATTTGCATAATTGTTTTGAAATATTTTAAAATATTTCAAGATATTTTAATATATTTCGATCAATATTTTTAAAAAATAATTCTTCATTTTTTTATTTTTTTCATATATTTTTGAAACGAATTAAAACGTTTCTATTTTCTAAGCGACTGAAATAAGTCATCAAAACAAAATTTTGATCTTTACTCTTATATTTGTTTTTCTGGGTTTTGGGATTCTATTTTTTTGGATTGTTGGAGTTCTAGCACTTGGAGGTGCTACTTAGAGGAATGAATTCGAATTTAATTGAAACCCAATTAAAAAATAGTCAACATTTTGAGTGTAGATATCTTGTACTTGTTGGAGCTATTGACTTGGTTTGCAACGTGATAGCTAAATAATAGGTAGGAGTTGTTATTTAAACTGTTAAGTAAGCTAATTTGTAGGAGTTGATTTGTTCAATTTTGTTTAGTTATGTTTTTCTTGTATTTTGATTTTTCTGTTTGTAAGACTTTATAAAAGCCTCAGTTATTTTTCTACTTGAAAGAATAAGGATTATCAGTTTCCNATTTTGATTTTTCTGTTTGTAAGACTTTATAAAAGCCTCAGTTATTTTTCTACTTAAAAGAATAAGGATTATCAGTTTCCTTTATTTGGTATCAGAGCGAGCAAGGACCGGATAAAAGAAACATACAATTTGAGTGTTTGAGAGGAAAAACACGAAAACAGGAAATGGCAACTGATTCAAAAAGCTTCACAACACCATGTGTTTCAAAATTCGACGAAGACTACGATCACTGGAGTTTGATTATGGAAAATCTCCTGCGTTCTAATGAATATTGGAGCGTTATTCAATCTGGTTTCGAAGAACCAAAGGGAAACGAAGCCGTAGACACAACCCAACAAAAGACAATCGACGAAGCAAGACTCAAGGTTCTCAAAGCAAAGAATTATCTCTTTCAATCCNAAACACAGCCCAACAAAAGGCAATCGACGAAGCAAGACTCAAGGTTCTCAAAGCAAAGAATTATCTCTTTCAATCCATAGATAAGAGTATCTTGAAAATCATCACTCAGAAGGAGACTGCCAAGCAATTGTGGGATTCAATGAAAGTCAAGTATCAGGGAAGTGCTAGAGTGAAGCGGGCTCAGCTACCCTAAGTGGAGCAGCAATATGTTGGAGTTCAAGGAAGCAAGGAATTGTCACTCTATCATCCACAGAAGCTGAATATGTGGCTGCCACTGCATGTGCATGTCATGGAGTTTGGCTTAAAGGAATTNGTCACTCTATCATCCACAGAAGCTGAATATGTGGCTGCCACTGCATGTGCATGCCATGGAGTTTGGCTTAAAGGAATTCTGAAGGAGCTGGGCGTCAAAAACTATGAGTGCATCAATATTATGTGTGATAATAGTTCATCAATTAAGTTTTCAAAAAACCCAATTATGCATCGAAGGACAAAACATATTGATGTTAGATACCATTACTTGCGCAATCTGNGTTGGGCGTCAAAAACTGTGAGTGCATCAATATTATGTGTGATAATAGTTCAGCAATTAAGTTGTCAAAGAACCCAGTTATGCATCGAAGGACAAAACATATTGATGTTAGATACCATTACTTGCGCAATCTGTCAATTGATGGAGCTGTGAGGTTAGTTTTTTGTGGAACTAAAGATCAAGTGGCAGACATAATGACTNAAAACCCAATTATGCATTGAAGGACAAAACATATTGATGTTAGATACCATTACTTGTGCAATCTGTCAATTGATGGAGCTGTGAGGTTAGTTTTTTGTGGAACTAAAGATCAAGTGGCAGACATAATGACTAAACCAATTAAGTTGGACCAATTTGTGAAACTTAGAAGCTTGCTTGGTGTTCGACGACTTGAGGAGTAAACTGATGCTGATTCAGCATATTTCAGTTTACGGGGAGGAATTAGTCAACGTGATAGCTAAATAATAGGTAAGAGTTGTTATTTAAACCGTTAAGTAAGCTAGTTTGTAAGAGTTGATTTGTTCAATTTTGTTTAGATATGTTTTCCTTGTATTTCGATTTTTCTATTTGTAAGGCTTTATAAAAGCCTCAGTTATTNAGTTTACGGGGAGGAATTAGTTGGAGCTATTGACTTGGTCTACAATGTGATAGCTAAATAATAGGTAAGAGTTGTTATTTAAACTGTTAAGTAAGCTAGTTTGTAGGAGTTGATTTGTTCAATTTTGTTTAGATATGTTTTCCTTGTATTTCGATTTTTTTGTTTGTAAGGTTTTATAAAAGTCTCAGTTATTTTTCTACTTGAAAGAATAAGGATTATCAGTTTCCTTTAGTACTCGGATTGAGTTTGAGAAAATTTTAATTCGAACATAATTCAAAGAGTACGTAAATTTGGGTTTTAATTTTTCATGATTAATCTAAATTCACTTATTTTGACTTTATTGTACTTTTGGGTCAACCCAATTCGAACGGGAAGAAGAGGTCAATCCAATCCGAACGTGGTCCTTGAAGTCTTAGAAGCTGTCAACTTTGTGACCCACAAAATNACCTAAATTCACTTATTTTGACTTTATTGTACTTTTGGGTCAACCCAATTCGAATGGGAAGAAGAGGGTCAATCCAATCCGAACGTGGTCCTTGAAGTCTTAGAAGCTGTCAACTTTGTGACCCACAAAATTCTGTGGATCAAGGAGCCTTCCTCTTTAGCAGTAATTAACTGTTAGTTGTATGGTCTTTCAGCCATAGATGGTGTGCCCCGCCGGCAGCCGCCGACAGCTTCCTCCTCGTGGTACATGTAAGAATGTGATCATCCAGCCGCCCGGCTCGTGTTAATGAAAAGTGCAATATGAGATGTTAATCGTACGGCACCTTAAAGACTTCAATGCGATATAAATTTAGAATTTTCATATTGCATTAAACTCGGGTCAAATAAGCAGGCTAAATGTCAAAGTCGGGTTGAAATTCATATTTCATTTGAATTAAAATCAAATTGGACCCGAANTCGTGTTAATGAAAAGTGCAATATGAGATGTTAATCTAGATCTAATTCGTACGGCACCTTAAAGTCTTCAATGCGATATAAATTTAGAATTTTTATATTGCATTAAACTCAGGTCAAATAAGCCGGCTAAATTTCAAAGTCGGGTTGAAATTCATATTTCATTTGAATTAAAATCAAATTGGACCCGAATTCGTTAATTTGGGAAGAACACTAATTTAAATCCCAAAAACTTAGGACTTCAACCTAACTACTAGCGGAAGTTGCGTCAATATGCAATTTTTTTATTCAAACACAATGCGAATGCTAAAAATCTCTCTCCTGATATGGAGTATTCCTCGATTTTGTTTAAGCTAATCCGTCAAAGTTGCACCACTAATCTTAATCCATATGTAACATGCATGAGAGTGTCAAACTTTGCTACTNCTAACTACTAGCGGAAGTTGCGTCAATATGCAATTTTTATATTCAAACCCAATGCGAATGCTAAAAATCTCTCTCCTGATATGGAGTATTCCTCGATTTTGTTTAAGCTAATCCGTCAAAGTCGCACCACTAATCTTAATCCATATGTAACATGCATGAGAGTGTCAAACTTTGCTACTTG